GTAATTTCGGATTGATTGCCTATTCAGAGTTCTTTTCCATGTCTCTCTTTTGGACGTAGATCATCGGACCCGCGGCATCTAGGACTCCAGTCTACGGACCCTGACAGGAGCCGCAGTGCCCCGTCCTCCCCCTTCCTGCTCCGACCTTCTGACCTTCCCCCTCCCTATTCCTCTCTGCCGCCCTTCCCTCCTCAACCTTCCAAGGTAGAGCCCCTCACCCACCCTCCTTCTCATCTCCTCCTCCCTCTCCTCTTCCTGCTCCTCCTCCTCCTCTTCCTACTGCTCCTCCTCCTTCTCCTCCTCTTCCTACTGCTCCTCCTCCTCCTCTTCCTACTGCTCCTCCTCCTCCTCCTCTTCCTACTGCTCCTCCTCCTCCTCTTCCTACTTCCTCCTTCCTCCTCCTCCTCCTCCTCCTCTTCCTACTGCTCCTCCTCCTCCAGGCAACGCAGAGCGAGGTTTTTCTTCCACAGGCGACGGTAGCTTGTGCCTTCCGCCGCAGCCTCTTCGGCCTTCGTCAGGACCTACCACTGGCAGACCTTCGCGTCCAGCAAGGTTTTGAGGTTGAGATACGCCAGAGGGATACAATGGCGTTATGATGGCCATTTTCTTCTACTCTCTTGTTCATTTTTACCAGAGAATTTTTGCCTTAATCATTGCCGTAGAATAGAAAACTTATTCATGAGTTTAGACCAGTTCTTCAAAGTATTGGTCGCGGCCCAATGGCTCGCCAATAATGATAATAATAACAACAATAATAATAGTAATGATAATAACCCATAAGTTATCATATATATATGAGAGAGAGAGAGAAACAGACAGAAAGACAGACGGTAGTCGTGAAGGTAGTGCAAAAGCTTAAAGAACCTTGATTTAGACATGTGATTAGTAAATGAGAAAATATGGTATTATTTATCAGTGGGATCTTTCCAGGAGCTATGGATCAATCTATCAGCTAAGATATGGCCTCTCCTAAAAGTAGTATATTTCCCATATGAATTATGAGGAGTCTTTCCATGCACTGTTATTGTCCTTTAGGTATTTCCACCATTTCACTAGCCATGACATGACAAGTGAATTTGAAAAGAAGTGCCATTACGATACATAGTGCCATAGTGCCATCATGAGTACCATTAAGATACATAGTAATTGGATGCTATAGATTGGAAGAACTTGAAAACCATTGATGTAAATTGTGTATTTGTATTTTTCGATCTTTTTTCTCTTTCTCTTTTGCTGATGTATTGAAAAGTATTTGCACTGTTTTTCATCATGGACTTCGTAGAAACGGAAACTTGAATGATGATGTGAGTTTATTATATTTTCACTTTTTTCAAGCCGTTTCGTTTAATGTTTGCCGAGCAATGCAATTCCAACTTGGACTTAGATTTTAAAATGTACATATTTTTGTAATGGCAACTTATATCAGTTAAATTTAGCCGATAATGATGAGCAATAGATAATAAAGTTTTTAATACGACAAATGTAGAAAAAAGTATGATTAACATGAAAAATAGATACTCATTTTTCATTTATACCTTTCTTTTGCAGAAGTAATTTATGCCTCTCTTTTTCTGCAGGAAGTAATGGTTTCGATATAATAATTCATCCAACAAATGTTTGAAATTATAGATGTGTTGCTACATTTCGAAGTAGGATTAATAAACATTTTGATTATTGATTGATTGTAATTCTCATCTAGAACTCTGCAAATGTGTGTATATAGAGACGATAAGAATAAAATATAATTGGCAAAATGTTGATAGAATTCTAAATAAGACAATATCATAAATGTATTTTTATTATACAGTTTCGTAATGGTATTATTGTACACATCACAGCAGCATAGACTTGAAATCAAATGCAAATCTTAGAAGCACCATCAGAAAGCCTGAAAAGAAAATAACCTAACCTAACCTAACCTAAAAATAAATAATAAAAAATGCATATTAATCTAAAAATATATATATATGAAGGACCATCGAAAGCCTGAAAAGAAAATAAATTAACCTAAACTAACCTAACCTTAAAATAAATACCAAAAAAAGGTATATTAATCTAAAAAAATATATATATGAAGCACCATCGAAAGCCTGAAAAGAAAATAACCTAACCTAACCTAAAAATAAATAATAAAAAATGCATATTAATCTAAAAAAATATATATATATATATATATATATATATATGAAGCACCATCGAAAGCCTGAAAAGAAAATAACAACCTAACCTAACCTAAAAAATAAATTTAAAAAAAGCATATTAAAAAAAAAAAAAAATATATATATATAATATATATATATATATATATATATAATATATATAATATATATATATATGAAGCACCACCGAAAGCCTGAAAATAAAATAACCTAACCTAACCTAAAAAAATAAATAATAAAAAATGCATATTAATCGAAAAAATATATGAAGCACCATCGAAAGCCTGAAAAAGAAAATAACTTAACCTTACCTAACCTAAAAAAAATAATAAAAAAAGGCATATTAATCTAAAAAAATATATATAAATAGGTTAGTACCTAACCTAAAATAATAATAAAAAGGCATATTAATCTAAAAAGATATATAATATAATAACATATATTATATATATATATATATTATATATATATATTATTATATATATATATATATGAAGCACCATCGATAGCTTGAAAAGAAAATAACAACCTAACCTAACCTTGAAAATAAATAATAAAAAACGGCATATTAATCGAAAAAAAATATATGAATAGTTTAGTCCCTAACCTAAAAATAAATAATAAAAAATGCATATTAATCTAAAAAATATATATATGAATAGTACAGTCCCTCTAAGCCAGCAAAGTATCAGATCGAAGGCTTGCGTGTAAGTTCA